TATATATATATATAAATATTTTTTCATTTAATAAAGATTTATCTGTCGTACAAGACAATTAAACTTTATGCTAATAACAAATATAAATAAAATATCCTCTTCTAAAAACATATATTTAATTGCTCAGTAATACGCAATTTAATTAAATGTAGTAAGCCATATTTCAAAATTATAGCTGAGTTGTATTTAAATTAGTGGATAATTCAATGAATAATGAAAATTCAAACAATGAGTGTTTTTTCTTTCAAGAAGAAAATTATGAATATTATATGTTTTAAATAATAAAGAAAATGAAACTAAGACATTTATTATTATGACTCTAATAACACATTAAACATCTGTTAAAAACATTAATGGTATATGATAATTGGTAAAAGTGTTTCATCAATTTTAACCCCATTAATTAAAAGAGTGTTTTCAATTAAAGCAATCCCCAGCTAATCCGCATACCGCAGTGACAAGACTTTGAGTAATTCCTTCAATATGTAATTTTCGTGTAAAATCTCATTAAATAAATCCATATCTAAATTCATAGAACCAAATTCTCAAGTAATACTCTAACTTAAAAAGTTCAATTTTTTAATATCCCCAACTAAATTCGTAGGTAGTCTTACTTGGGGATTCTTCTGTCAAATAATAAAGGAATTTATTTTTGTTCATTTACTTGTGGATTTACTTACGAAAATATTACATGCAAATTAATTTCCCTAGCTAATTCTCCAAGTAATATTTTTGCGCCAAATTCACTTGCAGATTTTCCTGGAAAAAAAATTTCGCAGGTAAAATATTTTATAACTTAGGAATTTTATAATTTTCCATGTAAATTCGTAGGAAATTCCTGCAGATAGCATCCCTAGGAAAAATTCCCAAGTAATTCACAGTTTTCTGAGTGTAAGGAAAAAAAGTTAGTAAGATAATAAGAAAATATATTTATAATAAAAAACTTGTAAAAATAAAATTATATTAGTTGTTTTATGTTGTTCACTCTCTTTTGAGAGAGTGCACACTCTCTATATAAGGCGGATAAAAAATAATGTAATAATATCAGTTCAAGATTGTTTAGTGGGGGTAATAGAACCCCCGCATAGTTCAGGTGTTTTTTTGAAAATTGGAGACAAGTTCAGATGTCACTCTATGTCTTTTCTCTTTTAAATATTATTTATACAAATTTTAATTCTTTTAATAAGGATTCACCTGCAGTCCACATGCTTAAAAGCATCAACAAATAATAAAATAACAACTTTTTGAGCCTTAATGTAATACACCACAACTTTTTGAACCTTTCAAGATTTTTCCTATAATCCCGATTTGTAGGTCCCAATCGAAAGTATGTGTGAAAATTTGAGACTAAAATTCAATAAAGAACAAATAGTACAGTGGCTACAACTTTTTGACTTTCTTTTTCCCTTTGGCAATTTCCACAGTGACTATAGCATGGAAAAATCTACTACACATGTTATGTATTTCCACAAAAAACGCGGAATCTATTTGATCTTTGACCTTTTTAATCCACTTGTACTTGTCTACACACTAAACTTTTGATTTTATTTAGAGGTGTCCAATGAACGAGTGATCTAAATTTAAAAATAAATCACGTTAATCCGAAATTTGATTAAATTAAAATAACAATTCATTTACAACTTCATATTGAAAAATATTCATCTTGTAACTATGATAATTTACATATTTCTCAACAAAAAAGATGAATATGCATGAAATTTTAAACAACATTGATAAATAAATCAGTAAGAAATCTTATAATTACAAATTGGTAATGCAAATTTTACATGTAGACTAACCTAATGTAGAATGCAAGATGGTCACAAACTTGAATGAAAGAAGGAAATATAAATAATGTTGTGTGAGTGTCTTTGATAGACTCTTCATTACCCCACTTATCTTACAAATTAAAATTGAAGGTTATTAGACTCTTCATTACCCACATTTAATTAGTACATGAATATATGACTGCATTAAGATCTTGTTTGATGCATGAATTTAAAAATAACTATTACTTCATATTTAATTAATTAAATAGATATTAATATTTAATTTATTTTAGGGGTAAGATAAGGGCAAAATGATAATCCAACTTTGAGGTTAGGAGCTTCCCACTTATAATAATATATGATATGATGATTAATTAGTAACTATGTTTGTTTGAACCTTTTGAGCTTTTTGATCCATTTACACTTGTCCACAAACTTAACTTTTGACTTTATTTAGAGGTGGAAAATAAATGGGTGATCTAAATTTAAAAATAGATCACGTTAATTTGAATTTGATCAAATTAAAATAAATTAATATAAACAAATGAATTATTGATCCATTCTAAAAATATTTAAATTAAAATACATTAAATGTGGGTCGTGGAAAATGCTCCTCCAGAATCAAACTATGAATTATTGATCACCATAACATTTGCTCTTTTTTGTTAATTCAATAAAAAACAAATAGTACGATTTTTTGCTTTTCCACATTGGGTACAACGTGGAGCTTGTTGAACCTCTTGAGCTTCTTGATCCATTTGCACCGTTTCCTTATAAATTGAGCCGCTCTAAATGTAATGGTAATTTAATTGGATAGTAACTCGACGACTTTTTCAAGAGTTGAGCCACAATTTTCCTTATATAAGCAGCAGAGCGACGAGGCAAAGGCAGTGAAATTGTATTTGTATAGTATGGAGCATCTTCTTCAGCAACCTTCAGATGTATGTGACCTAATGCCTTGTAAATTGGAGTGGTCTCAACTGAAGTCCAATGTCTGGGTATTTTGGAGCACAAACCACAACGTCGAGTTGGACTACCAGCAATCCATTAAGTCCATCAATTGTGAGTGAGTCTGTTGTGAATATTTTCCAATTTTTGTTTAGCACTAATCTTTTTATCTTCTTCATACAGCTGCTGCTTCTGTTGTTTCCATCTTTCCAACTGAGAAATCGAGCATCCAAAATGTTATGAAGAAAATGTCGCCTCCATATATTTGTCTGATTCAATTCTGGGCACCCATCAAGGTCAATGAATCGACTTTCTTGTCCACTGCGGATCAACCATTTGCTGTCTATAACGGAATTGATAAGAGGCTCTCTTCATACAGGAAGCTCTGTTTAGATACTTTGATTCCCATTGACAAGGAAATTCCATTTGGTCCCCCTGCACGAGTTTTCTCAAGACTCTTGCCAGAAAATAACCCTGACGTCCCAAGCTACTCCGCTGCAGAGTTTCCACTGCTTCAAACTGCAATTCCCTTGGAAATTCATTCTTACTATGCATTTCCAGTTTCCAACTTCCGTTATCAGCAGTGCCTTGGTGTATTCGAGATTGTATCTACACAACCATTTCGCCCTCTTTCCAGCCTTATTAAGGTATTTGCTCATAAAACTTTGGTTATTCACTTTTGTTTGAACAATTCCATAATCCTTGTTTAATTTTCCATCATAGGGGTTGAATTTCAATTCAGTTGGCTTGTACATTCCTAACTCAATAAACAAAGTTTTTAAATGTCCAGAGGTATGTGTTGTTGCCTTTTTTATTTGGCGAAACTAAACAAAATAAATGAAAGTAAGAAAAAACAGATCAGTCCCACTAATTTCATAGCTTATCTTATCATTTTTATAGCCGCTGGAGCGTGAAAGACTTGTTGATATAAAGGCCGGGTTACATAAGATCCTTGAAAGACGTATTTTACTCTTTGCTCAAATTTGGACTCCTTTTCCTCTACATTGCTCTTTGAAAGTCATGTATCGTGTTCGTGGCGCAATCCAGGAATGTCTAAAAGATATGTATTATGAGTTTCGAGATTCTTCCGAAATCTGTTTTATTAAGAGCGGTGAGGCATTGGTGGGGAGGGCATTTGCATCCCAAGGTTCATGCTTTTGCAAAGATGTTACTCAATTAAGCATCAAAGAGTACCCTTTGGTGCCTGGTGCACGAAAAGCTGGATTCACTCAGAGTTTTGCAATTTGTTTGCAAAGTAAATGCGCCAACAATTTTATTTGCGTAGCTGAGTGCTTTCTGCCCAGCAACGAAATGGCTGTTAGAGATACAAAGACTTTCTTAAACATGCTTTTATCCACAATGAAAGAACAACTTCCAGGTTTCATAGTTGGTCCTGGAAAAGAACAAGGGCAGAGGATGCTCGTTGAAGTTGTTAAAGTTTCCCCGAGTGATGAACTTGACTCCTTTGAAATTGGCCAAACTCTGCCGAGTGTTCAATCACTTCAGGATGGAGGAGAAACAGCAGAAATTGATTCTTTCTGTCAACCGTCAAATTTACAGAAGGAGAATAATGTTGCTGCTGAACTACTGCTTCCTTCTTGTTCATCAGACAAGCGTGACTCACTCAACTGTGAAGGGACAGTGGAAGTTGATCAGTCACTGCCTCATCCAATAGAGGAAGCTTTGACAAACAGAGGAACCGTTAATGTGGATGTAGCACATGATGACCACATTAAGGATACAACTGAAATAATGCAACTTGATACACACTTTGAGCAACCAAACTTAGAAACTAATTCTGCAGGAAATGCAACAACTAACAACGAGATAATTCATTCGCAGAAGAAAAACGCAATACAAAGGATAGAAAAAGATCATGGGATTACTCGCAAGATTCTGGAGCAGCATTATGGCATGACTCTTGAAGATGCTGCCAAAAATCTAGGTGGTAAGTTCACTAACTTTAGCGCATTTGAGATTCGTAATTCTTTTTGTGTTATTATATATGATGTACACTCATATGCCTTTAACCGGAATGATTTATGCATAGGTTCACTGAAATCCCTTTTGTGGACTTTTTATTGCAGTTAGTCGAGCAACACTGAAACGGATATGTAGAAAATATGAAATCATTATGGTTCATCTTCAGAGTAAATATCTCAAAAGGTCATTCAACTTTGAGGAATGCTCTTGTAAAGTCGTTCAACTTTATTTTGTATCAAAAAAATCACTCAACTTTGAGTTTTGCTTTTATAAAATCACTCAATCAAATTTATCATTAAAAAAATAATTTGACATGATAAAATAAATTAATTCTTTTTCCTCAAATCTCAATCCTTTGTATGTTTTTCTTCTACTATTTTTTCTGCAATAATTACAAAAAAAATTACTCCCTTTTCATAAAGGAAATAACCGTAATTAACAATAAAACGTCTTCATGAAGAATCCTCCAACAAGGTTTCTCTCAAGTCTACTAGCAGGCAGCAGCTAAAGAAGGAAATTATAGTCTAAACATAATCTCCTCTTTGATTTGTAATAATCTAATTAAGTTCGAAATCATTAACGTTATGCAAGTGAATATAGTAAGTAGTAACTGTTTAGTATGTATAAAATCTCTCTCTATTTACCAAAAATAAAAAGAAAGAAAGATATTTGAGTAAAGTTTTTATTTATGGAAGAGAGAAAAGAGGAAAGCTCAAACTCAAACTCCAGCAAAAAATGTTTTATATATCATGTTAAATAATTTTCTTATAATGAATTTAATTGAGTGATTTTATAAAAAGAAACTCAAAGTTGAGTGATTTTATAAAAAGAAAACTCAAAGTTGAGTGATTTTATAAAAAGAAAACTCAAAGTTGAGTGATTTTATAAAAAGAAAACTCAAAGTTGAGTGATTTTATAAAAAGAAAACTCAAAGTTGAGTGATTTTATAAAAAGAAAACTCAAAGTTGAGTGATTTTATAAAAAGAAAACTCAAAGTTGAGTGATTTTATAAAAAGAAAACTCAAAGTTGAGTGATTTTATAAAAAGAAAACTCAAAGTTGAGTGATTTTATAAAAAGAAAACTCAAAGTTGAGTGATTTTATTGATACAAAACAAAGTTAAATGACTTTATAAGATGAATCCTCAAAGTTGGATGACCTTTTGAGATATTTACTCTTCATCTTCATTGCAGTTTTCTTTCTTGCTTTCTCTATCTCCTTTGCTTTTTCCTTTTTAAGTTAATTAATTATTTTGGCTGTCATATTTTTCTCCATTAATGACTTGCTAATGTTAATTAATTCCGTAGATTCCTATATTCTTTTACGTAATTAATTAGAGAAAGCTTATTTAATTTTAGGAAAACATTTCACATCTTTGAAATAGTTTCTTAGGGTTGTTTGGTACAAATATTGATAACGCATAGATTAGTAATATATATACTATTTTTTATCAAGTGTTTGATTCATTACTTTCCACTTAATTTTGTGTTTGATTTAAAACTCTAATTTCTTTACTATTATACTCTTGTGTTATTATGAGATTATTTATTTCATGTAATTAGTCCAAGGTAGATAATTTCCAGACAAAATCTTTTTTTTTTCCAGGATTTTCTATTTTATTTAACTAGTTAATTAGTTAAACACACACACAAACACTCATTTAACCACGGAGATCTTTGGTGACACGGTGTATTTCTAATTTTTTGTTGGTCAAATATATCTTAATCTTAAAATAGATTTAAGGCTAGTTAAATTATTCAATATCTAAAACTTTTTTTTTTTTTTACTTAAAAAATAGTTCAGGTGGTTAATCGACGAACTACATTGAATAAAAAATTCAAAAATATAGAGAAAAAAATATATTAGTGAAATCATCACATTACACTAAACGAAATTGTAGAATTAATAAGAACATTTATAACCATTCCAATATAAATAAAAATGAAATCAAATTACAAAAGGAATAGGGGGATAGTGTAGTCATTTAGGGGTCTTATCCAAGGATTGTTAAACCTTAAATTAGTTATCCCTCCATTTTCTAGGATAAGATAAGACCACGTATGGTGTCTAACTAATCCATGTATTAAGTTAAATAAAGTAACCAAACAATATATCAGATGAACTAAATTTTAATCCATGGACTATTCTAATTAATACCGCCTACCAAACGGGTCCTTAAGACAGTGACCATCACAACTCAAATATTAATTTTGTATATTATCATAATAATATTTATCTAATTTTCAATACTATTGTTTTTGCTAAATAATAAGTTATAGAAATAATTGTTTTCGTCCATATGTTATTGCCTTATTTTGGTTTTGATCCTTGAAATATCTTACTTCCCAGATTTAACCTTTAATTAATTAAAATCAATTATTTTAGTCTTTCTACTAACAGTGATAACCAATACAAACATATTTTTTATTTATGTCAAGGGCAATTATGATACTTCACAATAAGGAGCACTTTTATATCGAAAACAAAATCTAAACATACACACAAGTTTACAAATTATTCGATAACATCTTTTCTCATACACAACCATATCCAGTCCTCCTCCCTTCTTCCAAATGTCAATCCTCTAATACACGAATAATAATAGCATACTATTTGTTAATTGATGATCCAATATTATCTTTTGGTACATCCCCTCTTATGTGAGAACACAAGTTAGCAACTCCTCTAAATAGTAACGAACAATAAAAATCATAACCTTTTGAACCTTTCGAGATTTTCATGTTTCATTTCCCCGATTAATGGGTCCCAATCAAAACTATATGTGATGGTGATGTGACAATATTTAATACCCATTTCAATTTAATGTAAAAAATAATTAACTGAATGCACAAATTTTACAGGTTAATTAAGATATATTTTTTTTCAACAATAGTTATCTGCTATTAACTTGACACATACTTTAAGAAATAATAAATAATATGGGCAATATTATTATATTATCCTTTGAATATATTAAATTTAATGTTTTGAAAAATGTATTAGACATTGAATAGTAACTAATAGCAATGATAAAATAGATACAAAAGAGTAAATTATCTCTTGATTTTCCAAACGAAACACGTAGTATTATTGGATAAATATTTTTAATATAGTGAATAAGTAAAAATGAACGGAGATAATATGTGGTGTTTAAACGAGTTGAATTATTATAAACTTGGATCGAAGTGAATTCTCTTATTTGAAAAGAGTGTCACTGTCATATAAATAAAAAATTATGGATGATTTATAAATTCAATAAAGAACAAATAGTACTAACTTAACTCCACAATTTTTTGCCTTTATTTTTCCTTTGACAATTTCCATAGTTTAGTGGGAAAATGTACAATTTCCACAAAAACGCGGAGTCTCTTTGAACCTCTTGAGCTTTTTTTATCCACTTGCACTCATTCATAAACTAAAATTTTGATCTTTTTTTGTCAAATAGATGGATGATTTAGCTAGGGGTGTACATGACCGGGTTGGTTCAGGTTTTTCAAATATCAAATCAAATCATTTGTGTCGGATTTTTGAATTTATAAACCAAACCAATAAAACTCGGGCTTTTCAACCTCTGTTTTTTTTGGATTCTCTTTTGTTTTTTCGGATTTTTTTGGGTAAAGTATTCATACAAACATATAATTTACTTGTACTTCAAATATTTCTTTAGTCCTACCAAAATACAACTATATAAGGTATTTCTTAAGAAAATAACTCATAATATGATATGATTAATGACACTAAAATATCCAACAAAAAAATAATAAAGAAATCGCGTAAAATAAATATTGCAAATTAATAAGTAATAATGAAAATAATCATAATTTAAAAGTACTAAATCATGCTAAAATAAGTTTAATAAGTATTAGTTACATGCTAAATATTAACAGAAATTAAAATTAGATTATGTATTTTAATTGTCTAAACCTATGTAAAACTAAAGAACAAATATTCAATATTAATGTTATTCTTGTTATAAAATAATATATTGTGGATGTCCACTACATCAAGAAGTTACTCCATTACTTTCCTCCATTATGAAGATAACCATAACCTCCATAACCTCCACCTTTATAACCATTATTCTTGTAACCTTTAACTTCCATAACCTCCCCATTATATTCATGTTAATGTCATGTTTATGACTAACCTTTTGTATGCCTCTATGTTACACTATAAATAGAGGCATAAGGGTTCATATTGTAGAGACTTGAAGATTTGGTGAACACTTGAATAAGAAAAACTCTCATCTCTTGTCTTCCTATTTCTATTCTTTTATCATCTTTTATATTTCTTGTCTTGTTTTACTTTAGTTTTACAACACGTTATCAGCACGAGTTGCTCATTCTCCGTCAAGAATCAATGGTAGGTATTTCTTGATTTATATGAATTATCCTAGAAGTTCTTTGGCTGCAAGGT